CTTCCCTTTTCTCCCTCAGCCCTACGGGTAGTTACTTTCTACAGCTACTCCCTCCATGAAACCTATAGTTCTTTTCTTACATTCAATTACTAGTTACAACTCTACCTAGTTAGCAACTTGTTATATTTCTTTCCATTCCAATAACTGGTGTGGTTTCCCTCTCCTGTGACAGACACCACCCACCACTCAGGATAACCACTATTACGAGTCTTCCTACTTGTCTTTCTACCCGTAAGTCAGACACTGAATGGGGGTATGGGGAGCCTCCCGCCCTCACCATCTAAATAAGATTGGAGGGAACTCCTACTCCACACTCTCCTCTGTTCCACATAGCTTTGCCTGAACCCCAAGATGAGCTAGTGCCCTTGTGGCTCCCTATGGCTGGCTCCACCACTGCCTTATCACCTCATATTGAAGTGACTTATTTGTACCTGTCTCTCTCCTCAGACTGCAGTGACTTACCCAAAGGCAGGGATCAGATCTTAAGTCTGTAGCCCTACTACTGCTTAGCATACTTCCCTACACATAGTAGGTGCTCAGGAATGTTTGAAGAACATCAAATATTTGATAATCCAGCTACTGGTCTTGATCCTGATGACATGAATGAATGATATGAAAGCTACTCACTTTAATGTGCTACTCCACATTATATAAATATAAAAATCTGTGTGTCAGTGAAAACAAAACAAAGGAGGAAAAGCAAGAGGCTGAAGTCTGCTTGAATCACAATGCAAAAGGGGACTTTCAGACATGAAAACGTGTCCAGTCTGCAGTGAGTCCCTCTCCTCATAATGCTGGGCTATAATTATGTTTGCATCACATCTGCATGTTATTATTTACATTTCCATGTTGGTATTTGCACAGTTGGCAGGGTTCCCAAGAAGTCACTCCTTCTGAGCACAGAGACCGCACGTCTCCTGGAAGGGCTGTTGGGGTCCACAGACCGCTGAACCGCTCCAGATGACAGCCAGCTTCCCAGCCCAGGGGGGCCCTGCCAGCCAGGCTTCCTTCTCACTCTCAATCTATCCACCTCTCTCTATCTCCTTCCTCCTGTTCCCCTCCCCGGCCCCCTCCCTTCATCTCTCATTTCTGGGACAGCCTCTATTAGAATCACTTGTGCAATAGATAACGACTCCTTTATAGCTGCTAGTGCTTCCCCTGTGTAATTAGGAAGTGCATTGTTGTGTAATTCAGAAATTAATTAGTAGTAAATGTTTCAAAAACGCAGGTGGAAGTGGGAGGCCTACTGTGCTTTATCAACCATGTATTCGCACTGCAGCGCTGGGGTACATTCATGAGCTTATCCAGGACCTCACTCCATAAAGTCTCCTTCCTGGGACCTCTGTAGTTCTGGGGTAAGGACACCACTAGCCACATATCAAGGTACTTTGGCCAACTGCTAGGTGGCAGCCACAAAAGATGTCTCTCAGCTGCCCCAAGGGCTTGGGGGGGGGGGTCCTTCCAGCCCAGAGAAGGGAGGGAGCAGGTGTTAGTTACCAAGCAACCTGAACCTTGGAAGGCTGTGGATGTTGCCTTATCAGGGGAACAGCCTGAAATTATTTCTCTCTGATCTAAAAAGGAAAAGTAGCATTGCAGGACCATGACCCAGAAGATGAAAATAAGCAAGAGGCTGCATCCTGGCCAGGGGGTCCTGCAGCAATAGCCTCTGAGTCAAGGCACAGCCCTAAATCCTCCAAAGAACCCAGGTTTCTCCATGTAGCTTTGTCTTATGCTATTTGCTCCGTCTGTAATGCCTTTCCCTGTCATTTGCAGGTCTGCATAATACCTAGAACATAGCTGATGCTTAATAAATATTTACTGAATGAAGCTCCTCATATCCATCTTGCATGAAGTTTAATCAGCATTAAGAGCATATCTCTTCTCCTGACCTCTCTGTCCCTCTTTTTCAGCCCCGGTGTCACAGATTATTGTCACCTGTGACTGTGTCTCCCCTATTAAACTGCAGGCTTCTTGGATACAGGGACTGGCTTACTCATCTTTGTAGCCCTCCCAGCATCTCTCTGGGCAATTGTGTGGCTCTGCCCTCTGAGAGCCCACCCACTGTTCTGGGGTGAGCTACTTCACAGGCTGTATTGAAATCCCCAGGACAACGCTTACCCGGGACTCAAGCTCCCCAAAGAAAATGCCATTTCATAATGATACTATATATTTTTGATAACCAGACTATCCGCTAAGGTAGTTGAAAGCCATAGGCCTTAAAAATAAAACTACTGTTACAAGTTGATTTTAACATAATTTAAATATAGGTAGCCATGCTACATTTGAAAAATAAAGGGGTGATTTATAGAATTTTCTTTTTAGAGATCAACAAAATTAAAAGGCAACCCCTTGAAATGGGGAAAAAAAGAATTGCAAACCACATGTCTAACAAGAGGTTAATATCCAAAATACATAAGGAACTCACACAACTCAACAGCAAAACAAATAATCTAATTTTTAAAAGGGCAAAGGACTGGCATTAACATTTTTTTCAAAGAAGATGTATGAATGGCCAACAAGTACATGAAAAGATGTTCAACAGCACTAAGTATCAAAACAACAATGAGATACGACCTCACACCTATTAGAATAATCATCATCAAAAAGACAACAGATGACAACTATTTTTGAGGATGTGGAGGAAAGGGAACCTTTGTGCACTGTTGGCAGCAGTGTAAATTGTTGCAGTCACAATGAAAACAGTATGAAGTTTCCTCAAAAAAATTAAAATAAGAGCCACCATCTAATCCAACAATTGCATTTCTGGGCACTTATCTGAAGGAATAAAATAACTACATTAAAGAGATATTTGCACCCCCATATTTATTACAGCATTATTTGAAATAGCCAAAACATGGAAGTAATCAAAGTGTGGACCAACAAATGAAGTTGTGGTCTATAAATATACAATGAAACATTACTCAACTATGCAAAAGAAGGAACATTTGTCATTTGTGACAACATGGATGGGACTTAAGGGCATTATACTAAGTGAAATAAGAGCAAGACAAACACTGTATGATCTCACTTAAGAGTGCAACTACAGGGGAAAAATAGCTTAGAAAAAGAGATCAGATTTGTGGTTAGCAGAGGTGGGGTGGGGGAACTGGATAATAAAAAGTACAAACTTCCAGTTATAAGGTAAATAAGTATTGGGGATATCTGTACAACACTATGATTACAGCTGATGCTGCTGAATATTTTTGTGAACGTCGTTAGAACATCCTAAGAGTTATCATCAACAAGGGGAAAAAACATTTTTCCCTTTTTTTTGTATCTATATGTGATCTTAAATGTTAACTAAACTTACTGTTTTGATCATTTCACAAGACATATCAAGTCATTATACATCTTACACAGTGCTGTTATGTCCACTATCACTCAATAAAACTGGGGAGAGGGGAAGTGGGGGCAACAGGAAGGCAACTCAAGTTTTTTTAAACAGGGTAGTGATATGATCACATGAGAACAACAAATTTTAGAGGTTAAAAAGTAAAGAGGCATTAAAATTAGGTTTTATTTTCCAGAGCTGAGGGCTTATGGTGTTTTTGGATTGATTGTAAAGAAAGTTTCATTGCTAAAAAAAAAAAAAAAAAAAAAAGGGAAACAGTAAGATGGGGGCTTGTAAGGGTCAGTAGGAGCAGAGGCTGGCCCCTGGTCCCTCCCCACGCAGCCAGGGGCAATGGAAGCTCTGGAGATGGAAGGTCCTTCAGACCCCCTTTTCTTCTGGAAGCCACAGGCTGCCAAAGTGAACAGACTTCCTTTGCCAGCATCACATGAACTGAATTCCCTGCACTGGCACAATCCCAGAGCCCGTCTCTAAGGGGTGAAACTCCACAGCTTTTACCTCCCCTTCTGTCAAGGGCCTGCCCTTATTCCCACCAGGCCCTGGGAGAACTGAAGGCAGCATTCAAGCTGCCTAGTGATATTCCATATTTCTGAGTGTGCTCCCAGCAGGAAGGCTCATCTAACTGTAGTTCCAGAAGCAAAAAGTTAATCTTTCATGAGACTAAAACAGTGACCAAGGCCTGTACATCTGTTTTCTAATAGTTCACCATTATGGTGGCCCCACGAAATTCGTATGGCAGAACCCTTCCCCCACATTACATGATGGTGTTAAGAGGTGGGGTCTTTGGGAGGTAATTAGGATTAGGAGAGGCCATGAGGGTGGGGGCTTCACTTATGGGACCCATATCCTTTAAGAGACCTGGGAGGGCTTACTTCCCTTCTTCCTGGTCTACTTTATGAAGATACAAGAAGAAATCCACAGACTGTGACCTAGAAGAGGGCTGGTTCTCCCCTGAACCCAACCATACTGGCACCCTGGTCTTGAACTTCCAGCCTCCAGAACCATAGGAAATAAATTTCTATTGTTTATAAGCCACCCAGTCTGTGGTGCTTTGTTATGGCAGGACAATGACTAAGGACTACATTTCATTTCCAAAGTATGCTTATAAGAACCAACTCCCTCCCCATGCACCCATTACAATACTAGGCTGTTTTCTGACCTCAGCAAAGATCCTTGTGCTCAGCTGTGAGTCAAACTCACCTGAATTGCATTTTTCCTCAGTTTGTGTCTGGTAAAAATTCCCCTCAGCAGTAGCTCCTTTCCACAACCTCTCCCAAGTGCAAGTGAGAAAAAAAGTTGATTCTCCCAACTGCCCATGCCCACACCCTACTCCAGAGGGCCCAGCCAGCACCCTTTCCTGCAGGTAGCCCTGAGGCATTCCCATCTATAGTGGGCTGTTTCTCTGAAACTCACCCAGTGTCTACCTTTCAGCAGCTTTGAGCCATGTCACTTGCCAAGAACATCTTTTCCTAAAGCATGAAAGGCTGGGGCAAGGCATGCCCCAGGTGGCATCACTAGAGAGAGGGGCAGAAACCATTTTGGTCACAACTTTAATTAATTCTTTCCCCCACTGTCAGTTTAAATACTTCTGGAGAGATTCAAGGTTCCCCAGACTCTGGTAGGACAGGCTGGGATCTCAGGGAGGGAAGATATGATAACCAACAACTGCCACTTGAGGGTAAATGTTCACACAACTGCAAGGAAGCAGAGAAGAGAGAAAGGCAGACTGTCAGGAAGTGTCTCGATGTCCAAAACCGTGGGTCAGACCAACACACAGCACAGCCACTGCAAGAGAAGGAGAAAGGTGAACGCTGGCTTCCCGGGAGCAGGTGCGACTTTGCCAGAGGCCCGCTTCTGCCTCACAAGGTGTGACCTTTTCATCTTTCCCTCCTCTGGTAGTGGCTGTGCCCAATAGCAGGAGGCAAGGAAGCCCTTAACTAAGTCCTTAACCCCTAAACCAGAACACCGTAGAAGTGTGACTTAGGAAATGCTAGAACTAAGGGGACTTCCAAAAATAGGGGTGTGTGTGTGTGTGTGTAATATATATACACACATGCACTCCATTTCAGTTTCAACACTATTGTCCAGGTGTGTGTAGGCATCCACAGATACATTTCTAGGAATGCCTTCCCCAGATCACCGAAATGCAGTGAGTGACATTCCTGTTGTAGAGAAGAGAAGAAAGGGGTGAACCCAGGCAATTTAGGAGGGACATGAATAACCTGGTGCTTTACTACCACTGCCTCAGAAGCAGATGGAGGGCAATGCCTCCTTCCTGGCATGGAGCCTGGGGACATTTCCAGACCTGTGTCCCCACAGACCTGTGCAGGCTCCTGGGAGGCTGCTTTGTGGCAGTCTCCACAGGGAAAGAGCCATGGTGTCTTCTGCATAAGACCTCGTGTGCCTTGTACACAGTGAAACACTCATATATTTTGCATTTTGATTCTACCTTGTTGCAATTTAATTTTTGTTTCTGCTATCCTTTTATGTCTATCTAAGACATTTGATCTTAGAAGTCTGATACTTTAAATTGTACCTACCACCCACAATTCCACTCAAATTAAAGTTTGTATCTTTGGCATGGTTTGATACCAAGCTACATTTTTTATCTTTAAGATAATAATAAATTAAATTGTTTGAGTGACTGCATAACGATCACATTCTCCCTAATGCTTATCACAGAATGTGCATTGTATTCACATGGAAATAAGACAGGTGAATATGAATAAACACCACTGGGTACCTAGACTGTCCAAGAATTTCAAGTACCATCATCAAGCAGTTCATCAAAATGCAAGCCATTTACCTCTGCCAAGGAGAGATGGACAACACCATCCTGGTCCTTGTCCAGAAGCTTGAACATTTCTAAAATGCCAGAGAGAATGAAATTATATAGAGGTGTTTCTGGACTTTAGAACAGCAGACAGCTGCCTCTGTCCACCCACTCCTACCTGGCACCCTTCCCCTTCCCTGCACTGCCCTGCCAAGTGCCCACCTAATTGCGGGGCCCTGAGCAGTTAGCTCAGGATCCAGCATCCAGGTTGAGTTGTAGGACAGACAGAGGTTGCACTATTTGTGGGTAACCCTGTCCTTTCACTTCCTCTCTAGGTCTGCCTGGCCTTCTCCATTAGAACTTAATATTCCTGACCCTTAGTGGAAGGAAATCTTCTCCCTTAATAGAATATTCAAGTAGGTGCCAAAGCCCAAGGGGGCTCCACGAGAGGACATATGCTCTCAATATGATCCCCCTGGAGCATAGATGTGAAGAGACACTAAAAGGCATTTGGGGCCAGTTGCTGTGCCACAGAGTAAGAATACAGCACTGGGTGTTGGTTTCTGAAGACTCCCAAGAAAGCAGTGTCTGACTTTGGGCATGACCAGCTTGAACTTCCTTCAGCCCCTGCTGCTTCTGCTTTGTCTCTTCCAAAGTTACACAAGTCTGTATCTATGGTTTCTTTAACCCCCTGACCTCCCAAAGGCACTATCTGGTTCTGCCTGCTGGCCCTGCCACTCCCTGCATCTTGGGAGAGACGGGGTGAGATTAAAGGAGAAAGTGACTCACTGAAGAGGGTCTCCAGGCGGATCATGCAGGACACAAAGCTGTTGAAGTCCACACCTAGTTTGCTGCAGGCATATCGCATGGCGATGGTCTGCTGCACCTGGTTGTTGAGGGTGAAACCTGAGAACAGAGGGGCTGGCATCACAGGTGGCATGGAAGGCTCCCCACTGTCTCCAACAGAACTCAGGGGCTGCCTATGCAGGGACCAGGCCTGACCATGCCTCCTCCCAGGAGTACTAGAAGTGTTTGGCTATCCAATAGGTCGGGATTAGCCTCTGCTCTTGTCCTAAATTAAGCCTCAGTTAGCTCCAACTCTAACTCAGCTATGCGTCATATTAGCCACAGCGAGAAAGCAGGGAAGGTGCCTATCTCCTGCCGATCTCCTTGATGGCTGCACCCTCGGTGATTGCTCTCCCTTTGACAGTTACAGGTCAAGTCCTTGGGAAAAGTCTTGTTATACTGTACAGCCTGCTCCTCCTGGGCAGGGAGGGTGTTCAACAACTTCTTGTCATATGGATATCTGACGGCAGAGAGCGGCATTGCTATGCTCAGCAGTCATCAGAGCTATTCAGAATGAGTATGTCTGCATCCTCACCTGCCTTCTTGAGGGCTGTCCTCATCTCGTGGACATCGATGGTCCCCAGGTGGTCATCATCAGCTTCCCGATAGATCTCCTAAAGCAAGAGAGAAATTTCACATGAAAAACAATTAATGCGGTCCTGCCAGGACCCTCCCCCGCCTCTCCACAGCTTCCTTAGAGCCGGGGCAGCCTGAGAGGAGATCACACTGACGTCTCCCAAGAAGTTTTAGAACAAAGAAAAGAGCTTGGACTGAAGGCCTAGGCCAGCCCCTCTGCCCTCTGCATGGCAGGGCTTTCCGGCACTGGGCATTGGTACAGAGGCTCTCATTGCCTTCTCAATGCTCCCGAGACAATGTGTCCAGGTTTTCTGTGGTTTTGACCATGGTTTTGACCATGGTGAAGGATCTGGTCAGACTAGGGTGTGGACTAGACTAGGAATGAGTATCAGGGAGGGTGAAGGGCTAGAAACAGAACAGAGGAGAGGGAGCAGCGTCCAGGAGATGCCCAGGAGAGAGAGAAGCATTACCAGATACTTCCGAATCTTCAACCAGAGTATCTTGAATTCCACCAGCCCCAAGGTGCCAGTGCCATCGCTCTAGACATGTTAAGGACCAACACGCTCAGGCCCAGTTCTGCATGTGCCCATGCACTGCATCCCTGTGAGATCATGCACTGAGTTCCCAAGACCTAAGTGAGCATGCAGAACTGCAGCAAGCAAGACCCTGGGGTCATAGTTGGATGTGTTGGTGGGAAGGAAATTCAAATAAATATTAGAAGTCAAAACACACACTAATGCCCTCCTTGGAGGTCAGGCACAGCCCTAAAAACAAAGGACCAGTCATGACCCTAAAGACCTCCAACAAACATCATTGATAAGGATCTAACAGCGTAGTCCTCCCAGGTTGGAGTGAGGGTTGAGCTGTGTGGCCTGTTACTGCACTTCCAGATTTAAATCTCAATGGTTGATAATTAAAATAGGTACAGCTGGTTAGAAGGTCAAGGGACAATTACCACAATCATCAGGGGCACATAACTGGGGGTCTCAGCCACAAGGTCAGCACACGCTGTCAGTGCACCTTGAACATCAGTGGTCCTCAAGTCGGGAAGGAATTGCCTACAGATGCCCAGGCACCCCATCCAGGATCCACTAAATCACACCTTCAGGAGCGACACTCAGACAACTGTTTTGAAAGATGGTGGATAATGAAGCATGATATCTGCTACAGCAGGCATCATCCAAAGTGGAAGAATCCACTTACATAATGTATGATTCCATTTACATAAAATGTTCAGAATAGACAGTTCTACAGAAACAGTGTTTGTAATGCCGGGAGTTGGGAGAGCTGAAGGAACTGGGGATGCCTACTAATACAGATTCACAGTTTCTCTGTGATATGATGAAAATGCTCTAAGATGTGTGGTGATATCAGCACAACACTGTGAATATACTAAAAACCATTGAATTATATCCTTTCAGCAAGCACTTTTATAATATGTGAATTTTAGCTCAGCCTTTTGTAAAAGGCTCCATGGATGGTCCTGTGGCCTGCCCTGGCTCAGAACCAGGGCCCCAAGCCACCCAAACCAGGGAACAGAAACACTCCAAGAGTGATGGGCCACAGTCCTCTTGCAGCCCTTCGGGGTGCCAGGACCACTGGGAACAAAGCATGGGCTCATGTAAGGCAACTCTCAAATCTAAATGGAAGTCAGTAGACAAGTTCAGAAGAATGATTCAACACTTAAATTTGTGGCCCAGGGATTGTACTGTGACCCACACAGGCCTAACAGACACTGGCTGAAGAGCCCCCCCACATCTGAGCTCTGGGACCACAAGGATCGCACTGTCTCCCCATGACTGACCACCCTAACAGAGGTCGGGCCCCCTCGGCATGACCACAACTCAAATAAAAACCCTTCTTCCCACCCCAAATTCATCAAATATCACCATGGATCCAATCCTCAGAACTGCGGAGAAACTTCCAAGGCTCCAATGTTAAAGAAACCACCTTTGTGATCCTTACTAAGGAAAACAGTAACCTGGCCACACCCTAGGCCAGGTTTAAGAAACTGCTGTTTCTCCATTAGCCCTCTGTGCCTTCAGGAAGCTGTCCCTTCCATGAGGAATGGCCCACCCTCTCCCACTGCTCCCCCAAGCCCGTCTGCACTCTTCAGTATGGACTGGAGTTAACCTCTCTCTAACTTGGGTCAAAGAGAAAAAACAGGTTTATCCCAGGGGATAATCTCAACTCTTGGCAGTGGCTGCCTGAGGCTGTGCACACACTCAGGGACAGAGCCGAGAAGTGGTGGGAAGAGCGGAGGCGGGGTGCAGAGGGGCAGGGCAGGAGAGGAGCCTGGAGGGAGGAGCACAGTGATGAACAAATGACACATGTTCTCTGCCTCTGAATTCAAGGACATTAAACCAGTCACTTAAGTGCTGCCTCCTCGGTTTCTTCACCCATAACATGATCATCTCAAGCGTACTGAGGAGCAAAAAAAATGAGATGACAATTTTCTTTCCAGCTCAAGCAGGACCCTGACGTGCTCAGCCAATGCTTGATTTTTCCATTTTCAATCCTTCCCTCCCTCCTCACTGGGAAATGTGGTGTTATTCAAATCACGGGGGAAAGCTAAGAATGAAGTGACATGTAAAGGATACGTCCATCAGGCTGATCATCTCCCTGCAAGTGTTGATATCGAATCCACTGAATTTCATGTCTGTTCCTGAAGATTTAAATAGAAATGGGCATGAAAATCAGGGTCATGTGAACACAGGCAGTATCTGCAGCAGCGTGGTGGGTGGGAGGCCCATGGATGGTGTCTTTGGTCCCCACAAAAATGGGAGAGCAAGATGGTGGCTCCCCAGCAGATTCCTAGCCTCTTGACATCCCAGGAGGCAGCACAGATGGACACTGACGTTGGATTCAGTGTCTGAACCTCCATTCTTACTCACAGGTCATTGTTCACTGCTAATATTTCTGAACTTTGGTTTCCTCCTTCAACCAGGGGGAACAGCAAAAATAACTTCCCATCTCTGAACTAGCTATTAAATAGAAGACATCACCTGGCCCATCCCAGACCAAATGAGGAGCCAGTTTCATGCCAGTTCAGGTGGGACTGAGGCCCAGCTGGGCAGATGTGTCACTTTGACCTCTGAGAGCCCCCAGGTCTTGCTAACATCTGCAGATGGGGCTCTAAGGTGGTCCAGGACATCAGATAAATCCCTTCCATGTGCCTTTTCCAAAGAGCTTCAATCTGCAGTTTTCCAAGCTATCAAAGGGATTCATTTTGTAGGATATTTTTGGTCAAGTCATAGGACACTGGACTCCATCCTCCAGGGCCCACCTGTACCCCCAGCACCCTCTCTTCTCCAGCCTCTCCTACCTGTCAGATACTCTCTCAGCCCAGAGGAAATCAGGACCCCTCAGGCGAGAGGCCAAAGGCCCCTCCATCCTACCTGCTGTGCTCCTGGCCCAATACCTGCCCCCACTCCACCCTCACCTCTACTCTCTCTTTCTGAAAGACCCCCCAGGAGACACTCACGTTTGGAAAACACTCCATTCAGGACCATCTTGAGTTCACTGGCACTGATCTCAGAATCCTAGAAAGAGCAGCCCAAATGCAGTCACATCAGGTCCTGACGGGTGTTTCAAGACATTAAATTAATGTGGAGTCTGACCCCAGACCTACAGACTTTGTGATATTAAAAGGTTGTGACATCTTTAAAAACTCAAGTTTCCAATTTCTCTAGAGTTCCCCACAGTTTGGAGAGGCGTGTGCATGAAAGAGGTGAGCACATACACGGAACACCCCAAAGCAGAGGGCTGCAACACTGGCGCACGAGCCAGGGAGCTTGCTTTAAGAACAAAGTGTGGAGAGTAGAGAAGAAATAGAGGCTAAAGTGGCCTGAGCTTCTCCAGACTCCCTGCCCTTCACTCACCTTCCCTGCAAGCTTCTCAAACAGGCTCCTGAACTGGCTGTCTTCTTGATCCAGCTCACTGGGGTGTGGCTAAAAAGGAAGGATAACTACCAAGTTCAGATGGGAATCATGGAGGAGAATTAAAGGCAAAGAGTTTTCATTCATTCATTCATTCATCATTCACTATATCTATGCACACCAATTACATGCCAGGCCTTGGCTAGGTAGGGGACACTGCGGTAAATAAGAGATGCAGGGTGGTGGCCCCTGGGGGATCCCATAGTCCAGCCAGGATGTAGGACAGAGATCGAGGTCCTCTGGAGAGATGTGGGGAAGTGATCCCCACCATTTACACTGAATTTCTAGTTTCAATACTGAATTGCTCTCAGAGAATAGCAGAAACAGAGGATGTCATTCTGGGTCTGTGGGCTCCTAAGGGGTTCTCTTCCTGGAGATTGTGAACTTCAGAAACTGCATGAAAATTTGGGGACACATTGACATATATTTTCATAGCTTTCATCAGATTCTCAAATAGCAACACACAATTAGAAAGTATCTAAAATACAACAGAGTAGAAATAGCAGAACTGGGAGCCAGAGACTGAGGTTCAGATGCTAGCTTGGTTACTTGATTCCATCGCAGCATCCTGGACAGTCATTTCCTAACTCAAACATTCAATTACCTAGGCTTGTGGCATGGGGTCATTTTGAGAATCAAATGAGAGCTAGTGTGTATCAAAGTCCTTTTGAAAATGACAAATCACTAAGTGAATGACTGTCCAGAGACTCTCTGATAGGACAATGGGCTCCATCCCAAACAGAATGGCCTCCCCCACTGTCACCACCAGACAGAACAGGAAAAACTTGAAGAGTTTCCAGAAAGACAGATTAAGGCCTCCCAAAACCATCATGCAGAAAAGTATAAAAGGCCTGATAGGGCCTTATGTTACTGGATCAGTAAGAGTATAACAACTGTAGTGATAATATTTACCTTTGTCGGTATATGGATTATTTTGGGGGTTTTTAAAGATTTTTTTATTAGAACTGGGGTATAGGTCAGAGGCATGGGAGCATGAGAGAATTCTCCAGAGACAGAACAGGGAGCAGAAAAGGCAGACGGACCGAAGACACTGTTGAGGGGAGCAGTAGCCAAGGCAGGAGAGGTCTGCCGCGCCATGTGGCTATCTCCCTGGCCTGCCGGGATGGAACCTGTGCTGCAGAGGCTGCGGACAGCTTCACAGCGCAGCACAACCTGCTCTGCCACCTGGGAGACCCTATATGGATTATTTTGTTACTCAAGACTACACTATGAGGGTCTCCCCTGGTGGCGCAGCGGTTGAGCACTGGGCTGCGAAGCTGCCCGCAGCCTCTGCAGCACTGATTCGATCCCTGGCCACCTGAGAGGGTCCCACATGGCACGTAGACCTCTCCTGCCACCCGCTGCTCCCCTCAGCAGTGTATCTCGTCGGTCTGTCTGTTTTGTTCCCTGCTCTGGCTCTGGTGAACTCTCTCACCCTCCCGTGCTTCTGACTGTACCCAGTGCTTGTATAAATAAATAAATAAATAAATATTTAAAAAAAAAAAACTACACTATGAGATCAGTCGCATCGCAATCCACGTTCCACCTCCCCCTAGCATGACAGCCAGAGAGGATACCCTCATAATCCTACTGACCCTCAATTCATCCTCTCCGTCTATAACGTGGGGATGTTAATGACTACCCCACTATTTACATATATGATGCTCATTTAATACAATGAATTATACTTTGAAATCTAATGGGGAGCCCATAAATTCTGGACATGGAGTGATATTCTAATCTGGAAAAAAAGGGTAAAATTGCATGCCAAAAACAGTACCCAAACCAGTATATGAATATGGATACATCATGGTAAATAGTAGGTATTTTGCCACTGGCAGTGTCTTTGGACATGGGGTGACAGTGAGCAGGCTGAGCGGGCACCCATCTACAAAGAGGAGAAGGGGGCAGGAGGGAGAGTTCTGAGCAGCTTCCATCACAGAGAACCACAAGCACAGAAAGGGTCTCCAGTGCCAGGTAGCCTGGCCAAGCAGAGGCAGACGGTGTATAGATTACGGGCTTGACTATAAGCTTAGTTCAGGGGCTACGGGATGAAACTGATAAAGGGGCAAGCATTTCTATAGCATAACCACCCCCCCAGGCAAGATGAATCTGTATTTGGCACCTTCTCATGCATTTGCAAAAATATGATCTCACCCATTTAATATATGGCAAATAATAGAAAATATCCCCCCAAACCACCATTCAGCCAATGACTCAAACTCAGCAGCTGCAGGATGCTCAGTGTGGTATCTGCAGAGACACCTGCAGAGACACCTGCAGAGAATGGCGTGACCAAGGCAAGGCTGTACCCCCCAAGATAGCACTATCCACTCCTGGCCATGGACACAGTGTGGCCCCTGGACACAAGCCCACACAGAGCAGCAGCACGGGATGTGCTGCCTCCACACCCATCATTTGAGGAAATGCATAGTAAACTGAATTCATGAGGGAGGAATAGAGGAGTGAGGCAGATTAAGTCACTCTTAAAACCCTGTACATTGATTCCTCCAAAGTCAGTTTTGATCTCACCTCCTCCATGGAGCCTTCTCAGGATGGACAGTCACTCTAGGACCCCTGGACTTCTCACAGATGCAGATTTAGACCCATTCTTGGCATGAGTCTCCTTTTTTCTTCTTTTCATATGCTTCCACCATTTCACCCCAACAAGACTGGTGTCTAGCTAAGAACGGGACTGGATCTTTCTCCCGCTGCCTTCCCTATCCTGCACCAAACTGCTTAAGCACACAGAGGGTATTCTAGCTGACTGAATGTGGGAGATACTCAGATCCCCCTACCCCGCAGGGAGAAGAGCTATGTCACAAAGCCTGAACTCCTAACGCTGCTTCTATCTCGTCTTTATTTGATAAAAACTATCACTTAGAAGATGTGATCCTGATAAACAAAAAGTTACCATCTTCAATATATAAAGAGCCCTCAAATCAGTAACAAACCCCAAATGACTGCCATGCAACAGTGTCAGAATTTGCCATCCTAAAAGTTTACATACCTCATATGGGTTTCCAACTACCACATCCCCAATCTCCCTGAAACACAAAGAAAGAAAGGAAGAAATCAATGTAAGTAAAAAGTAAAGCTAATGACTAGATTTTAGGAAGTTTTTAAGCCTTCTAAGAGGGATTGACTTTCATTGAAGACCTTTAGTTCCTATTAGCACCAAACTGCATAAGCTGAATCTTAACCAGAATCTCTCCCCTTCATGGCCCCCACCCCCAATGCCCCCCCTGACTTTTTCACCAAAGACAAGAGCTGCTCAGTTCACTTGACCTTTCATGGAATCTAGAATGTTCACTGATGGACCACTCTTCTGGGAAATTTTCTCCCCACTTAGCCCCAATTACTACTATTCTCCTTCATTGGAACCCAGCTATGGAAATCCCTGCTGCAATGGCCTCTGGTGAATAAGCCAGCAAGCTCAAAGCCCATGTGTGCTGCATGCATGTACATGCCATGTGGTATAGTATGTGCATTGGGGTGTGGTGTGTGCATATAGTGTGCATCTGTGATGCATGTATCTATATAAGGTGCTTGTGTGTGGTTTGCATGTAGTATTTATGTGGGGCATGTGTATGGATGTGGTCTATATGTATAGTGTATGTGGCATGTGTGTGGTATGTTTGTGAAGAATGTAAGTGGTCTGTATATGGTGTGTGTGTATGGTGCATAAGTCGTCTGATGCAGTGTTTGTGTGTATGTGGTATGTGTATGCTGTGTGACATGTATGTGGTATGTGACTTATATGCTGCCTGTGATGCATATAAAAATACATCCGTGATGTATTTTATATGTGTGGTGGTGTATTTGTGTGGTGTATGTATGTGGTGTGTGCATGGTGTGTGCTGTGTGAAGTGTGTATGTAGTATGTCTGCTGTGTTGGTGGTTTGCATGTGTGTATGATGTGTGTGTGTGGTGTGTATATAAGAGCAAGAGGAGGTCTCATCTAGATCCCACTCTCTGCCCCTCAAGGCCCATCCCTGCTGGAAGGAAAATCCTTTAACCAGGCTGTTATCAGGGCCCTTTCTTTTCACGCTTGAGCTGCTTTTATTAAAGAAAACTCCCCCAGTGTCCTATAGACCAAAGTGGAGGGGGCAGGAGAGGAACCCCAAGTGCAGGACCCTTGGGTGTTTTACCAATTGGTGTTTTACCAATTTCTCCCGGGATGCATCAGCTGGGGGGTATCACCCACAGTGACAGGGTCCCTGCACTTGGTCCAGCCAGCCCCGTGGCTGTCCTGGGCACTCAGACCCCTGATCCCCCCGCCACGGAGGCCAAGGGTACGCACAGAGCCTTGGCCTTCTTCTCCGAGAACACCCTCAGGCAGAAGTCGCCATCCTCGAAGGGCTTGAAGGTAGATGGCACCACCAGGTACTCCCCCGGGGGGAGCCGCAGCCGGCCCGAGACCTCCCGCAGGTCCTGGTGGCCCAGGAAGAAGTCCCGGCCCAGGTGCACATCTGTGTGACTCTCCAACTACACAAAGTAAGAGTCAGAATCAATTTCTTCTGAAATCCTGAGAGATGAGGCTATATAGTTCGGTTTTTCACACATTGATTTGGGGATTGTGGATTTTTAACGCTAGCCTAAGGGTCAGAGTCCTGGGTTCTGTCATGACTCAAATGTGTTATCAACAAGTGTATTTTGAGCACCTCCTGGGTGCCAGGACCTGTTTGACTCACTGACCTTGACTGTGACATTGACCAGACTCTCTGCTCTCTTCCAGGTAAATGAAGGGCTAAACACTAGAGTCTCTTGTGTGTCCTCAGCTTCTCTCTGGATATCCATCTCCATCAATCACCTACCACTGAGTGCAACAGACTAACTCTGGGATGGTACCCGGAGAGTGGCATTAAGCTCCCTGGAACAGGCTTGTGGCTAGAGAAGCGAGCTTCAATCCTGATCCTCAGCAAAAGCAGCCAGAAAACCTGCTCACCTTTGCCTCTCTGGGAAAATCGCTTTATAAAGCAATGAGGTCAGTCAGGCTGGGAGGCAAGGCGGCCACTGCTAAGGAGGCTGACAGAGCAAGTGGTCATAGCCAAGCCTGGTGTGGGATCCCCGGCCTCCCTCAGGGCCTCGGCTCACCTCAGAGAGGGGACAGCACCCCTGTGACCCATCTGTTTGTTGGAGGGAGAGAGGGTGTGACACAGATTAATTAGTGACTGCAGAGTGCTTTGAAAACACAGGTGCTGGCGTTATCATTGCTGTAATTAAAGCTCTACGCAGCACCGTATCTTACAATCCATCTTCATCAAGGTGCCTATGACACAGGCCAGGTGTGCAGAAGCTGCCAGGCTGTGACTGGTGTGTGACCCAGAGCTACGATACCCACCCCAGTGTGGACAGTGTCCAGTAATGGTCACCAGAACCTCTTTGAATCACAGGTCTACTGAGTAAGGGATGAAAGCAGTGCCACCTGCCCCAATGCTCTGACCAGGTTCTCACAGGGACCACCCCCTCTCAGTGCTCTCTGCCCTGGTCATGTCTGCATGAAGATACCCAGTTGGTTCTTGCTCACCTGGACACCAGGGCGGCCACAGCCCATGGGATGTTTAGACTGGGGGTGGGAGAATACGGGGGCCAGGCCAGTGAGGCCATGGCTGCAGCCTATAAATTCGCAGCTCACTGGCACATGCCCCATAGCTGGCCACGCATGAGAACCCAAGAGTCAGGGTAAGGCTGCAGCAGGGACATAAGTTTTATATGTTGAGTGCAACTGATTCCAGCTGGGGAGCCCCAGAGAGAAAAGAGGTTCTTAACTCAACTGCCCATTGGAATCACCCAGAAATTCTGATATAATTGGTCTGGGGTACAGCTTGGGCATCGGGCCCTCTGTCCTTCAGACTCTAAAAGTATGTGTTTGGTAAAGCTCCCCAGGTATCTCCAGCATGCAACCGGGGGCCAGGAGGAATTGGGCATGTGTGCAGGCTGCCTTCCAGGATGTGCTCTCACTCCAACCGGTGGCAGCCCCTCCCCAGGAGAGCTGCCCGGGGCTCCTCTCTTTCACTGACTGAGGCAGACAGGACAGCTGGGAGGAACCCCAGGTGTCAGTATGAAAGAGAGGGCATGTTGTAAATCACTGCAGAGGTGCAGGAAAAGCCAGGAGCCAAAAAGATAAAGTCGATGCTTCCTCTTCTCAGAGATCAGGGAACTGATTCCGCTGGCTAGGTAGCTAGGGACCAAGAGTGTGCTATAGGCATTCCACTCAGATCGGACCACCCGGCACCAGAGGCAAAGGTTACCATGTCCTCTTCCACAGGGTCCCAGCAGGTGGGACTCAGGATCATCCTTACCAAGTCTTGGGATTACCAGCTCACCAGATGCTGTGGGAGTCTGAGCGCGAGACCGTGTGTGACCGAGGAAGCATGTGGTATGGTGCACCCCCCAGTGCAGTGCCATGCTCTTTCTTACCAAAGGGAGAACATCTCTGTGGGCACTCACATACCTCTTTGGGAACCTACAGGCAGGAGAAAAGAGCAGGTCACCCAGGAATGCTGAGGTTTTTCTCCCTCTGAGCCTCTGCCTCCCCCTCCACACCTTGCTGACTGGCTGTGCAATCCCAGACCATTCCTAAGTGCAATTCCTTGGGGAGGAAGCTCATGCTAACGTGAGAGACTAATCAGCACCCCAAACTGGTAAGTCACTGATGAATTTCAAAGCCATCTGTAGCCTACTAAGCTCTAGAAATCTGAAAGGAAAAAAAAAAAAAAAAGGCTCCATTTTCTTTTACTTTTTTTTCCTGGTTGTATAATCTATACCAAGATCCTTAGTTCTTCAGGGGGGTAACCTTAGGGTTTACAGGAGAGCTAATACCTCACAGAACTATAGGCCTGACCTCAGCAATTGGTCCAAGAATGGACACATGAGCCAAGCTGAGTCCATCACAGACTTCAGCAGAATTTTTGAATGGAACTAAGAGAGGGGGCCTCTTCTTTTCAGCTGTGATATTAGGAAGACTAAAGAAAGCTGGACTGGGAGGATGGCACTGACACCAGGGAGCTGCAGAGAGAAAGGCCCTGATAACATGCCTGTCCCATGTCCCAGGCGTCCCTGACCTTCCCTTCGTTTGGTGACATGAGCAGCTGAATTCCTTTTTCACTGGTCTCGGTTCTATTATTTGCAACTAGAAATTCTGACTCTCACAAGAAACCAGCTCTCAGACCTAGCGAGAGAACCCTCCCTGCCGGGGCAGAGCCGAGGGTTCAAGCCCCCTTTGTCCTTCCCCTGCCACACAGTCTCTTTTGACTGGAAGAGCCGGAAGGACACTGTTTGTGGCTTAGGTCTTTGTGGAAAAAATTAGGGAAAATTTGGCAGTCCACTCCTCTCAGGTGCCCCCTGATAATTGGCAGCAAGAGGTAGAAAAGCCCAAGGTCACTGCTGTTCCTCTAATTTTGAGTTTAAAACCTAAATCACCCATGCAGAGGCTGTGGCTATCCGGGAGAGCAGAGGTCTGCATGGTGTCTGCCACTGATCCCCCCCGAAAAGCCTTCACCCACCCAGGTCTAACCACCCTCTGTGTAACATGCCCACCACCCACAGCAATGTGCTCTGAGTCCACCCTGCCAAGAGTCAGCAGGCAGGAGCTGAGCCAGCCAGGTGGGGCCACTGGGTGGCACAAATCCGGAGCAGCAAGCCAGGGGAGCAGGCCTTAGCCCTTGCCCACTGATGGATGGAAAGGGACAGCCACCTTTGAAAGGCAGGATACTGAATGCAAATGGCAGGCCTGCCTGGAGTGAGCCTGTTGTAGAATGTGTAGGAAGATAACAGGAGAGAGAGAGGGGACCAGACAAGAGGGGTTCTCCAGCCTCCAGGGGATCCCGACTGCTTTTCAATCAGCGTTGGATTTTCAATCTCAATGGAGACTTCAGTTTGCAGTTAAAGTCAGAGAAGGCAGATACAGGGGTCAGAGAATGGTACCCCTCCAACAACCCCATATCCCTCATTACTACCCAAGAATCCCGTCCTTCAACCCCAGGGATGCCCCTTCAACCTTTAAGCCCCCCCTACAATCCCAAGTACACCCTGTAAACAATACATACACCCTCTTCCTATGATCCCCATACCCTTCCATACCACCCTAGGAACTCCCTACACTCTCCCTATAACCCTAGTTACTCCCTGCAACCTCCCCTACAATCTCTGTACCCCCCCCAACAATCTGTACTCCCCTTTTCAACAACCCCAGGAACTCCCAACAATCCCTGCACTGCTCCCACCTCCATAACCTAACTTTAAAACTGCTTGTGTTCACAGATGTCATGTTCTAAATGATATGCCTCTGGCTATAAGAAGGAGATCTGTGAATCACATACATAGGGTTATTTTACAAGCAACTATAATTTGATGTCTAAAAAATTGACAAGCTTTTTATATTATTTATGAGAGCAAATGCCAAGCTAGTGTTAGCTCATGTCCCTTTGAAAAAAACACTCTGCTGGTCTGGTTATAAAAGCCAGGGTTAGGACATCAGAACTGGGGGCCTACTCCCCATGGAGCCCACCCCTCAGCCATGCCCGCCTACTGCCAGCTGTTAACAGGCATATGACGATGCCTCTGCTGGCTGCAATGTTCTCTCTTTTCTACCTTTGAAATCCAGCTCATCTCCTGAAGTCCTGATGAAGTCTCCTCCATGCTGCTGTTCCTTTCCAAGGAGACCTCAGCCCACCACAGCAGACCTGCCCTGTCATTAATTGAGGGTGTGCCTGGTTTCCCCTCTTGCCCGTGAGTACCCTGAAGACAGTAACCATGTGCCAGGACTCTGAGTCTCCGTTTTCAACATAGCCCTTGGCATGTAGCAGCTGCGCACTACAGTGTGTTGAGTTGATGTACATGCAACAGGTACCTCCTCAGGTTCTTACCCTAATAAGCAAAGAACTGGTCTGTTGCTATTTACATTCTAGGTGGAGATGGAAGGGTCCAGCTGGAGTAAAGTAAGGCTGATTTATTTGAAATTCTTTTGTCCTGCCATTAAGCAGCAGATATTTTCCAACTCCCATTTGTCTAACAAAAAATGCGTACCTATGTACACACCCTAAACTCTAAAGTCCTAAGTTCAGAATAGGCAGAAGAAAGGGCGGAGGTAGAGATCTTACTGGTTTCTTATTACAGTACTTCCTTGTCACACAGTAATTTATACTGAGTATTGGGCCTCCAGACAGCTCTTAGTCTTCCTGATTAGAATTGTATTTTTCCCAGGAAATTCATTTTTAACGAAACTGTATAAAAGCATCCACCACAAATCCCTCCAGAATTTGTTATAAGGCATCTTTTCCCATATAAAAATGTGGATTCCAATTTGTTCCTAGCTAGGCCAAAACGGGTGTGTTGAGCCAGGCACTGCAGCCTGAGACCAGTGTCACTTGGGGACCCCAGTCCAGAGAACCTAGAAAACAAAATAGGTGCAGCCCCATACCCCAGCCCATACCCTGTATGTTCCAACAAGTATCTCAAGGTTACCCAGAGAGGGAGAGGGGATTGGTATATGGATCCCATATCCAGCCCTTCTTCCCCCACTCTGTAATGTCCCTTACATCCCTTGGGTCACCTCAATTGCCTATGCCCCCATGTTCTTGTCCCTATCCAAGTATAATAAGCACTGAGGGGGGGATAAGAGTGTTTACGCTGAGCCCTCAGTGGCAGGCAAAGTGTCATGAGCTACAGGTCTCAATGTTAACAGCAGGGACTAAGCCAGAGGAACGAATCTTTCATTGTGGAATTCCAGCCTCGAGAAGGGAGAAACATTTCAGGGAGCAAACAGAATGCTTGATTAGGAATACTCAAACAATAGGAAATATGTGTCCCCATCACTGGCCAAAATATTCCATCCAAAGCAGATGTCCAGTAAGGGACACCGTGGTGCTCGGGTACCTTGTAGACGGCATAGCCGATGCTCAGCATGCCTTGGCCGATCCTCCTCTGTCGCCTGCGATTCTTCTGCATCAAACCCAGCAGCACGGTGCAGCAGGGCTCCCTGCCATTCTCCTCCTGGTCGTCATCCACCTCATCCAAGCAGATTTTGAACTGGGGATTGGTCCAGTAAGTGGCTGGTAGTCACCCAGGAGATGGTGGTTCCCCCCGCCATAGGGGGTGAGGAAATGAGGAAGAATAAAATGAAAGGGAAGAGCCTTGGTCATCCCAATGAAAGGATAACTCTGGGCCAACTGTGTCTGGGAAGCAGCTCAGCAAGTTTTCCTTCTATCCACCTCCCTTCCACACACACCCGCAGACACATCGCACAGCAGGGGGAACTCAGCACATGTCCACTTGATCACCCAGACAAGCTTGACTGAGCATATGCAGGGTCCCTTGGCCCCAGGGCTACACTGAGAAGTGGGCTCCAAGTCTTCCTGGGGAAATGCCTAGCATCTTGTTCTCAGCTCCTGGCCTGCGAAGACAGACCCACCTCCTAGAGGAAGGCAGACGTCTGAGTAAACAAATCTGTCCCTGGGCCAGATGAAGACAAAGTTCAGAGGGGGTAGACTGCCTAGGAGGCCTCTGCCACAGACAAGAAGGTTAAAAAGATGATTCTTGGCCCCTGGAAAGTCCCTTCTGCTCAGAGAGGCCCTGGTTCAGATCCAAACTGAGACCGTCAGTCCCAGGGCCTCACTTGATAGCCTCGGTGTTGCCTCCCACTGATGAGACACACTCTTTCAAGAATAACACATTTAATAATGCAGGAAGAAGAATAATTGGCAATTAAGAAGCATGCCTGCCACACCACCTATAGAGACTTAAAAGACTTTCATTTCAAAGATGAATTTTTAGATGACCTCTCAAAATAGTGACTACATAAGCCAAGGCACGGAGAGGTTAAATGAATCCTCTAAGGTGCACAGCAATTCTGTAAGAGTCAAGCAGCAGAGGTGAATAGAGGAAGGTGGTCCCGCAGGCATCTCCATGCCAGACCTCTGCAATTTCAATAAGGATGATACCCTGGGGAAAGAAAGGCACTGGGGGGAGGGCAGTTTCTTCAAGCTCTAAAGATCCAACTTGAAATAACAAGTCATACATGTGACCACCAGCCACTGATGATTACATTTTCTTGACAATAAGATTACTTATCCAGTTCCACCTTCCCAGAATCTTTTTTTCCAGGTTCTTTTATTTGGGGCACAAGTGTGTGGACTTGAAAGCCAAATGTTTGTAGATTCCAGAGGAGGCAGAAAGTTCTGTAATCACCTATTCCTGTATCATTACCAAAGAAGAAGATCGACCCATCTCTTCCCAACAGCTAGTTGGCAGCACAGATGGGATAGCGATTTCGGCATACCGATACCTTAGGCACCCCCTACAGTTCTGAGCTCCCAAAATGATCCATGCAAATTTCCTACTCATTTTCTAAGAGCTTGCTAATGGTGAGCATATTTTAATTTCTCCCAAATGCAACATTACTGCAATCTCTACTTTTTCTGTTTACTCCGTAACAGAACCGGAGAAAGAGAATGGGTCATAAAAATAATACATCCATTTGCACAGCATTACACAGTTTACAAAGCCCTTCCAGAGGTAGGTATTATCTCTCCACTTTGAGGATTAAGAAACTGAATAGAAAAGGGAAGGGCCCTTCCAGGACCCCTCAGCATTATCTCTGTCGCCAGAAATGGGAGCTCTGGGTTGAATGGAGGTGAAGGAGGAGAGAGCTGGTCAAACCCAGGCCTGCACGCAGGTGGGATTTCAGTGCAAGCCCCACTTTCTCGGCACTGAGCACAGCCCTGCCAGAGCTCTGCCCTGAGAAGAAAGCCCTGCCTGCCTGCTTCCAGTCTAAATCTGAACCTGTCAACCTGGCAACATCAAACCCGGAGGTAGTTCGAGGCCTGGGGAGTGGGAGTGGAAAGAACAGGTTTTGCTTCCTTCATTTCTCGTTAGAGATGCAGGGTCTTTTTTCTTCCTTTGGAGTTTCTTCCTCCGGTGTTTTCTCAGCTGATTCACCTAGGAGGAGCCTACATACATACACATTAGTGATCTGCAGGAAGCCAGGAAAGGCGTCCCAACTTCAAAAGATGAAGGGTTAGTGCAGAGCCAAGAGTTGCACCAGACTATCCGATGAGTCCCATGGGAGCAAGACGTGGGCATCTGGCACCCGCACACTCAGACCCCTCCACCTCCGACTCAGGAGCAATGGCAAAGCAAAACCGCCACTCTGGTGGAAGGCCCGTGTTCCTCCAGCACACCATTAGCCACCCTGTCTCCGAGTTCAGTGGGGTGGATATCAGCCATCTGGGTTGAGTGGGGATGGATGAAACCCAAGAGAAGACCAAGAGGCCTTGACACCAGCTGCCAAGAACATGGTTAGTACATGAAACATATCCTTGTGAGCAGGGGGGCAGGTGGGTGAAGCAGGATCAGTCAGAACCCACAGAAGCTGAAGAATGCGGTGACCTGAGATGAGACTTCAGGTGGGGGCCGGCAGAGCCACTGCTGCCCCTCCTAGCGTCCAAGTCCGTGGAGACGCAACACTTCCCCAGATGCGCAGGAGCCAGGGACAGAGTGCAAAGGCACTGCCCAAAGATGCACATGTAAAGACACCCAGCCCAGGAGGCTAAGCCAGGAGAGGTGGGGCCTGTCATCCCTGTGCCTTACCTGGGTAGTTCTGGCAGCCCCCAGCGGTGGAGCCTCGTGCCCAGCGGCCGTTGAACAGGACCAAGTCCCACTTCTGCACCTCCTCGCTGCTCAGAGAGTCGGGAGACAGGTTGCAGATCTCTAGCCGAGAGAACTGCCTCAAGAAATCCAGAAAAGACATCCTGGGGGCAGAGGGAGCAAGGGCTTTTGGTCAAGAGAGGTGGGCTGGGAAGGAGACCTGAGGTTTGCCTACCGGGCACAGGCAAGGGACAGGCCATGGCTAGCTCCAGTCTTGGCTGCGGCCCACTGTCCAAAAGTTCCTGGCATTGTTAGTGTCTCCATTCTTACTGGAGCATCCTCCCCTAACCCACCTACAAAGGGATGAACCATAAACTGCATGAGACCTCAAGAAATAATCCCAACAAAACCCCTACCGCCAGGTTGATGACATCCCGAGCCTACAAAAGGTTTTCTCCCATTTCATTCAGACCGATGGTCAGCATCGAGATGTGCTCTAAGCCATATATGCAAGGGTGTCCTTAACCAACCAAGGGAGCAAGTTACCTTATTTCAATGGTAAGTTAAATCTTAGACTTAAAGAGATAGAGGTAGAATTCTCATTTCATGGAAAAGATACAAACAGCGAGGCCAGAGAGCTGTCCCATGCAGAGGGTCCAAATAGCATGGTTTCAGTGCTTTAGACAGAGGGGCACAGAAACAAATTTATACCAGGGCAAAAAGAAGGGGAAGAATGAAGCTGCCTCCTGTTGGGTACCATGTTAAATTCCACAAGAGCCAGAATTACTCCTCATCAGATCTGAATGAGCCCCCAGAGTCGGGGACAGCTAGTTCACAACTCTCTCACCAAAACTCTCCATCCTCAGCGCTCTTGACCAGCTCTTCTCTCTGCCTCGGATCTATGTAACTCCACTCTGGTGCACTGGGGAAAAGAAATAAAATAAAATAAAAAAATTAAACGAAGTAGAGGTGGCCAATAATGAAGGGTTTGCAGCACTGCAAATGATTGGCTGCACCTAAATGCCCCCAAGGCACAGATGGGGGATACACAAACACCACAGCAGGCAAAAAAGCAGGACAGACACCAGGGAGCATGCCGCCTGGGGAGGTCCATGGGCTGAGGGCACAGGCAGGTGCTACACGGTGGCTTTGCTCTCCTCTCACTCTCCACAAAAGTTTTGATTTAGTGGAGACTCCCAGGCCCCAACCACAGGGAGAAGGGAGGAGGTCCAAGAAAGGGGGTGCGAGAATGCGGGCACCCTGGGGTCATTCATGAGTCCTCCTTCTGGCATTCCCATTAGTCTGGGGTGAAGACAGTGAGAGAGGGACCCTCTGTGGTCACATGGACACATCCATTTCCTGACAACTGGCTCAGTATTCTGGCAATTTCCCTAAAGTATGTTAATTTTGAGGTCTCCTGCTGGTGGCCTTTTCCTGGCCACACCCACATATTCTGTTCAAATGCCATCTCCACCTACCTGACTTTTACAAAGTTAGGTTTTCCTCAAATGTGTGTGCAACATCTAAATAACAGCAGTATCAAAAAAATCTCTTCTCTGGATGGTTTCAGCAAAACACAAAAACCCCCCTTCCCAGCATGAAAGTTGGGGAGCCCAAAGCCCAAAGTCTCTCCTGCAATTGGCTTCTTGAAGGCCAGAGGGATCAGACATGAGAGCATCCAGAGCCTCTTTAATTCACTGGAACATTTGAATCAAAACTAAATCTGAGGATGTGCTTGTTATAAACAATGGTTAGGATACAACTTAGAGAATCCTAGATCTGACTTAAACCTCCCAGCTGGTTTTTTGAAACTAAAAAATTATGCAAAAATAATTTTTTTTTATTAACTGAACATTGGACTGAGCTGAGATGTCACCTCGGAGGGCATCAGTAGATCCATACCCGACTGCTCTCCAGATGCTGGAGCCTGTGGCTCTCCAGTCACCACGTATGACCTTTGGCCCTGTCCCAGCCTGTTAGAGACTGGGTGGCACCAAAGGACATAAACGTAAATATACTCTTTCAGCAGCTTGGTGAATAGCTGTTGATTAAAACAGCCAAAACACAGTGTTTCAATTTCATTCAGCCTTGAGAGCAGTTGGCAGAATTCAAGTTTGGGGATTTTGCTCACTCTTAGGCAGGAGAATGAAAAAAATCTTTAATACAGGAAGCCAATCCACGGTCCTAGGGATATGTGTTTCTTCATGACACAAGCCTGAAGGGAAGGACTGCTGTTAGGAACAGAACAGGCATGTGAGTAAGTGCAGTATAATGCCCTTCTAAAGTGCCTGTGGCACTTTGGAATTGATGTTTCTGTGTCCTTTGGGTAAATACCTAGGAGTGGACTTGCTGGATCATTTGGAAGCTCTATGTTTAGTAGGTCAGCACTGTTTACAATAGCTAAGCTTTGGAAACAACCCAAATGCCCAAAAATAGATGACTGGATCAAGAAGATGTGGTACATATACACCATGGAATATTACTCAGCATTCAAAAAAGATAAACGCATGCAATTTGCAGCAACATGGATGGCGCTGGAAGGGATCATGCTCAGTGAAATAAGCCAAAAAGAAAAAGAAAAATACCGGATGGTCTCACTCTAGCAGGAATCATTCTAGCAGGAATCTAGAAAACTTAAATAAGGGACCAGGAAAATGAATAACTATAAGAAAGTGAAAATCAAAATCAACAAAAAACTATGAACCAGAGACACTTTTTGGGGGGTGGGGGGCGGGAGGGGAGAGATTGGGGTAAGAATGGGGGGGTTGCAATTGTATGGGGAATATAAAAATAAAATTTATTATAAAAAAATAATAATAATAAAAAATAAACTTAAAAAATAAATAAATAAATAAATAAATAAAGTGCCTGTGGCACCACTGAAAGTAGACAGCATGCAGAGGCACACCCAAAGATGTTCTGGAAAGGGGGGCTGATATTTTGACATTCCCATTTCAGGCAGCTCTTCGTCAATGACACCTGCCAATTCCATTTCCTTCCCCAGCCCCATCCTGCCTCTCCATGGCAGCACTGCTAACTAGATCCCTCCATGCTTTCTCCAGCCTCCGCACCTTGAGACAAAACCAAAACGCAGCTGCCCTCAACATCTTTGGGGGCCTCAACATCAGTCACCATCTCTGATGACTTCCTCTCTCTGCTGTCCAAGAAGAGGCTCTCTAGTCATTAATAACTTTGTCAGGAAAGATCAATACCCTCCTGGTAATGAGCTCACGGATAGCGAGTGCCTTCCCCATTCATCACTGCCTGCTGTGCCAGTTGACTCCTAGGATGGAGTTCCACTTTCTAAGTATCATTTCCTCTTGGCACTGAGGGGTTTGGCCTTTGTCAAAGTGTCCAGGGTTTGTGGAGTGGAAAGAATCTGATTGCAAGTGATTGATCTCACCTTTGGAATCACCACGGTGTGGTGGGCAGAAAACAAGCAATCCCTTCAGTGCTAAGCAACATTCTGCTGAGCTGCCAAACTTTCAAATGCCAGAGCAGAGCTCCAGAATCAAAGACCACAATAAGTGGGTTTGGTTTTGCTTTTCCAAGCCTGGAACCATTTAAGACTGTTCTGTGCAAGTGTGGACAGAAAGTATGGCAGAACTCACTCTACTGTCTGTCTCACAGCTGGGTTTTTTTTGTTGTTGTTTGTTTTTGTTTTATGTTTTTTTGCAGATGTCTTTCAGCAGAGGGAGGTGAGGACTCAGTGAGAGAGAGGGAAGAACCTACTCATCACTCCAGGCTCCTGTCCACTCCACTTCACCCCACGGATTCCTAAGTCTGATCAGCTTCTCTGGGTGGCCATGGAAATCCACCTGCAAAATGCGCACACAAAATTACAAGTGAATTGCTGCACTCTGACTACCCCGCATACAGGTCTGCACCCCACAGGATTTGCATTCCACAGTTTTCCTTTAATGCATGTTTTTAGGCATTGGCCAACTGCTCTATTTTTCACAATTCAATTGAATAAATAGGGAGTCTAGCATAAATACAAATTCATATCTGCTTTAACTTGGTTTTAGATTTTTATAGTCAACTCAAAATAGTAAATACCTTCCAAACAAATGCTAGTGTTGACAGCTCAACAGTTAGCATTTATTGAGCATATATTATTGACCATGCATACTGATAAGCATTTCAAATGCACAATTGCCTCATTCAAACCTCAGGGTAATCCCTTGAGCTGGGTATTGTTATTATCTTTATTTTATAGCTCAAAAACCTCAAACTAAGATAGGTTAAGTTATCTGAGAATAATGGGTAGATGGAAGATGGGCACTAGGTCTATCGCCAAACTCATACATATATACCACCTTCCCCACAGATTCTTGAACACTCTCCATGAGCCTCCGTGCTCACCTCTGCCCCTAAGCACACAGTCATGAATTGTTAGGGCTCTGCACTTCCCTTTGTATCTCCCATCATGGCCTAGCCCAGTATTTACACATGTGTACTTAATCTGTACTTGGGACTTGACTTGATGAACAGCATATTCATGAAACACAAATACATCTAAGACAAGCTACATCTTTTTAATGAATAACAAGAACTGAGGCAACACACACACACTGCATTTCCCTTTTTGCCTTGGTCATCGGGAAACCCCAAAGTAAAATTAATTTCTCAATTGTAGCATAATCTTTAGCCTAAATGATCTGGTGTATTTCACTTTAGTTGTCTGGTTTTATTGTGTATATGCTTTTCCTTATAAACCACCACAAATCCTGTCTGGAAGTAGGTCTAATATAGTCAATAAAAATAATGAAAATTATAGCCTATGTTTTTTCCTTGAGAGTGAGGAATACCTGTGTTCCTTCCCATGATTATATACTACCCTGAAAATTGGGGCAAATATTACTGCCCTTTTCCCCCTTTGGGGATCCTAGGGTTTCCACAGCTTTACCTACATAAACATACTTCTTGGAACAAGCATAAAATCAAGTTGATAGTTTCTACAACTTCCTCCATAACCTTCCTCTTCCTCCTGGCCACACCTCAGAGGAAGCCTGCATTAGTTAGAACCTTAGGGCTGTAGCTCGGAGAGGTTGTCATCCATCGCCAAGTGGTGAGGGTCAGAGGGCCCTTGTAATGAGCGAGTGCTAACACAGATGCTTGGTGTCGGGGCTCTGGCAGCCAGGGAGAACCTGAACCTCAGCAGGGCAGGGAAGCTGTGGGGGTGATCCCCTCCCTCTTTATCTCAGGGCGCCCTAGATTTATGGCAATATCATGACATACCTCTTCGACTCCAGTGATAGAGTAAGCATGACTCTTTACCAGCTTCTGAGTGGTGATGGCTTCTGCTTCAGCTGCGCTGGAGATCTGGGGTGAGAATAAAGTCTACTCAGGATGGCTGACCCTGACCTTGTTGGGTCCAGCCCTACAAAGCTTTCCAAGAACAGACTACAGTCACTGGGGGCCCAGTGCAGGACTAGGGGTGCAGGTATAGCAACGAGCCTCAGGTAAATGGAGCCCTCTCCATTCTAACCCTTTGGCATCAGGCACATAGATACAGGCCTGCCAACCTTTAAAATGCCACAGGAAACTGGGAAGTTATTTATTCTCCAAGAGGGACCCAATGCTACTAGAGAGGACCATCTACCCATGCACTGCCCCGGACAAGTCCTGGTGTCTCCTGTTCTCACTGAGCAGGTTGCCAAAAGCCCTTCTTCTTTCATAGCCCCCCCCCACTTCCCAGCATGTGCCCCACATCATGTACCCACCCAAAACACACATCCCCTCCTAGGTTCTCTATAGAGAGAAGTAAAGAGGAAAGTTCTAAAGGGCAAGAGAGGGAGGAAGCACAGGCAGAGGGGCAGGTGGTAACAGATTCAGTCTGGAGGCCTCCAAGCTCTGGTCTCCAAGCCACCTTGGCACCCCACACTCTTCAGTCAGGCCATGACGCCTAGTTCCAAATCCCAACCCTTTTCTTCTCAAAGTCTATCAAGTGTTGTCAATCATCAGATTTGTTTTTTCTAAAATCCCAGGATTATTTAGCAAAAGGGCAGTGGCAATGATAACGCCTAGCATCCAAGGATCAATGTTATGTTCTTAGGGCAATTCTGGCAGAAATAAGGGGCTGCGGCACTAACAGAACTTGGGGCTTCTACAAAGGTACCCCCAGTTTTATCCATTAGTTAGGGCATAACCAGTTATGATGTGATGGGGACCAATAGGTCACTGGATTTGCGCCATAAGTCCCAGACTCTGTTCTGGCCCAAAGCCTTCCCACACCTCTTGCCACCTGTCCCATCCTCCCCTACCACATATTGGGGGAAGGAGCAAAGAGAAGCCATCCTGGCTCACATCAATAGAGCAGGCCAACAGAGACCCTGCGCGGAGGGCCTTCCGGATGATCTGATACAGGTTTGGTGGTGGCTTCCTCAGGTCAAAAAACTCAGAGATGCCACCAGTGAAATCCTCAAATCCTTCCACTGTGGACCCTCCAGACAGAGCCTCGTATGAACCATTGAGCCTATTGGAAAAGAAGGAAAATGGGCATCACCCACAGCCATCACCAACCCCAGTGAGGGAAGCATGCAGGTGGGGTGGGGGTAGCACTAGGACATGGACAAGGAGGACCCTGCAGGAATGAATCTCAGGCAATTTTTCCCAAAGCCACCAACTCCTCTTGGGAATTTGGGGGTGGCAGCATGAACAGGGTTGAAAGGGATTCTGTCTCCAGTCTGAGAGGCATTCTGGGGCCTTCTTTGGGAGCAGGACTGGAAAGGATCTGAGGTTGCTAGAAAGGGTACCAGTAAATGAAATGGCTTATAAGGATCCAATAGCAGCTTAGAACATCAAATGCAAGTGAGGAGGACAACTCCTCATCATTCTTTTAAAGATTCATGTTAACCTAAGAATTGACTTTGGGTTTAAGGGAGGAGAAAGTTAAGGCGCTGAGAGGCTAAGCGCCTTGCCCCTGATTCACATGTTCATGTGGGACAGAGCTGAGCTTAACCCCCTGGCCCAAATGTCTATCGGTTACTGAAGGAGAAAGTACTGGGATGTCCAGGTGCTGGGAGGGGTTGGGGCATGAGTTTGGGAATGGGGTAGGGGAGACCCTCCAGGGAGACCGTAGAGCTGCAAGGCCTCACTGCCCCCACTTACTTAGCATAGGCTTTTTCCAGCAGGGCGCTCCAGAATTCATCCCTTTCTTCCGAATGGAGGAAGAGCAGCTTCCCGTTCTTGGTGGGCAGCCTGTCGTCTACGACCACCTCCACCCACTCTCCATACTGCCAGAACTGGGGGTGGGAAAACACAGTAGCTGCACCTGGAGTGAGCACCTGGCAGAGCGAGTCTCTCTGCAGGGCTCCCCGGGAACCTCTGCTGAGCAGGGTTCAAGTCTCCCAGCTTTAGTGAATGCGGAGCTCCTGAAAAGCAGGGTCTATCCTGCTATCCATGCACACAGGAGGGGCCAGAGGCAGCAGGAGAGCCAGTGTCTGAATTGAGAAAACTTGCCCAGCATCACACACTGGCAACTTCGAGGAATAGAGAACCCCATCTCCTGACCCTCATTCCCAAGCACCTTCCTCAGTGGGAGCTAGAGGAGCAGCCATGTCATAATTGGGTGGATGCATTAAAGTAGCACCTCCCAAACTCATGTGCATCCAAATCACCTGGTGGGATTATTAACACAGAGGTCCTGGGTCCCAAGCCAGGGCTGCTGATTCAGTGGATCTGGAACGGAGCTTAAGTGGGTGGAAAGCAGCAACCTCCATACCTGAAACCGAAATATTCCCGCGTAGTTCTTCTGGAAGTTCTGGTCCCTGGGGACCACACGGTAAAGCAGCTCTTCATTCAGGGTGAGGGAGGCAATGGCAGCCAGCAGCCAGCAGTCACCTGTATACATCATGGGGGGTGCACACTGGTCAGGCCTGGCCAGCTGTCTCTGATCCTGGCTGTCCTCAGAGCCCACCTCACACACCCCTTCTCCTAAGGAGTCAGCTATCAGACTCCTCTTCCAGAGCCCGGAGTCCGGGGGCAGCAGTGGATGCCTGGCGCCTCATACAAGTTCTCTGTTCCTCCCCTCCCAGCGCTGACCCATTCACATCTCCTGAGTACTCAGGCAGTGGTGCAGAAAATGGAAAGGAAGAAAAAAAGAAACAAAAATCTGTCTCTTTGGTCCCTTATTGACAACTCTGAAAAAGCATTAGGTTGGAGGAACATTAAAACTATCTGGCCAGCCCAGGATATGTGCATGTGGGAGTGTGTGAGTATGTGAGCATGAGTGTGAGTGTGTGAGCATGAGTGTGAGTGTGTGAGCATGAGTGCATGTGTAAGCTTGAGTGTGAATGTGTCTAGTCCACATGGCCTTGGGTGACACAAAGCTGGCTCTACATGTCTGTTTAGAGAAGTGACCTCTATGACTCATGAATCATGATGGCCTTAAGGCCTCTTTGCTTATAATCCTCTTGAGATATTGCTACACATTAAATCATCATAACTTGAGGCAGAAGAAATAAAAGTCAAGAGAGGTTAAAAATTCTAGGGACTGGGGCCTCCCCTGGTGGCGCAGGCAGTTGAGTACCACGCTGTGAAGCTGTCCACAGCTTCTGCAGTGCCGGTTCGATCCTGGCCAGCTGGCAAGGGTCCCACATGGCGCAGCAAACCTCTCCTGTCATGCCCACTACTCCCCTCAGCAGTGTATTTCATCAGTCTGCCTGTTCTGTTCCCCGCTCTGTCTCTGGTGAACACTCACCCTCCCATGCATGTGGCCTGTACCCTGCTTCTTGTATAAATAAATAAATAAATCTTTGAAAAAAAAAATTCTAGGTTCTGGTGATAGTCACTGTGGAGATTCAAGTAAATGCAGGAGAGGAGAGGAGAGGAGGCATCCTCCATGTAACTGGGGTCTCATGCCACTTTCTTGGAGACACTGGTTGGTTCCCTCAGGGTTTGATGTCAAAAGATTAAGCAAAGCCCCAGAGACCTCTTTTTTTTTTTTTTTTTTTTGGTGGGATCCTCGTTGGCGGCTGGGGAATGAACCAATGCTGCAGAGGCTGTGGGCAGCCTCGCAGCCCAGCGCTCAACCGCTGAGCCACCAGGGGAGGCCCCCCAGAGGCCTCTTGCTTAACACCCCCGGGCTCTATCATCTCAGAATTGATGTAAACTTTGCTCATGTCCACATATATTTATTCTACACCCACCTCTGGGGTCTCGTTGTCCTTGTGTGCTGCTTACTGTGTGAGTACGACTTCATTTATTGGCACCATAGTTGTCTCTTTCCAGTTCCACAACAGAGCCCTGCCCTGGAGTCCAGGTCAAAAAGTTTTCTGACTTTTATTCCATTCAAATGGTTCCACAATCCTGCCTGTGTGTCAACCTTCATTTTTTCCATATAAAAAATTTGAGTCTTCTTAATGTATCTTCAGATGGAATCCCCTTTACTCTTTTAGAGCCCCTCTGAGGAACTTGTCTGTCCTTAGTTTTCCTCTCCATAGTCAAAGCTGGATACAGATTCCAGGAGTTTTTCTCACCTGAAACCATGGTTTTCTCAGACTCAGAGTTCACAAGTGGTAACAAAAGTATGACCTAACAACCCGCCTCTGAGTTTCCCTCATCGCTCAGAATGGCTCCATCACCAGGTCACCCTAGAAAGGCCTTTGCTCTATTTACCTTATCTCTCTCAACAAAGAGGTTCATGATTTGTTCCCAACTTAATTGCTTTCTCCCACCAATATCATACTCATTTTCATTCTCTCTCTTTTTCTCTCCCTTTTTGAAATTTTCCTAATCCAGGAGGCAGCCCTGCTTCCCACTCCACCCTCTTCCCAGACTCCCCTTCACGGACAAACACCATCCTCCTTCCCAATTACCAAGTGAGACCAGGTCAGGCAGCCAAGGCAGCCAGAGTTGGTATGGACTGTTCTGGGTTATGTTGCTTTATACTCAGGCGGGGCAGTTTCTCACTAAAAGGCAGTTTACAAAGAATGAGACAACAGAATTTCCTCCTTCTGATGGAGGAAAGAATAGAAAACCTAAAGAAAGCATCACAAGACTAAAATCTGACTTACACAAGGAGGTAGGGGTATAGGAGATTAATGTGACCATTAACCCAGTGTAGGGTAAACAATTGTCAGGCTTTTCTGCCCTCCTGCCATCAGGATAGATGATGGATCCCTGTGGTCCTGAATGCATGCCTGAGGGCGAGCACCTGGAGGGGGGTGTGGGCATACATAGGTGAGTACAGAGGGGCTGAGACTGGCTTATAAGAGCAGTGTAATGGGACCAGAAGGAGAACAAGCAAGAGAAGGGGAGAGAACAAGCAGAGAAGCAGAGGCCATGAGAGAACACCAGAGAGCCCAGAGAGAGTAAAAACTCGCGGAGGGCTGGGAGGCCTGCCAGCCTCCCGGCCCCCCGGCACCCCTGCCTGCCGTGTACCTGGTAAACTCAATAAAAGCCACCGAGGGCCCCAGGACTCTACCTTCAACCATCTGCTCAGATCATAGAAAACCTGCTCTGTGTCCATCCTGCCACTACACCCGGCTATAGAAATCAAGATCCTTAGGGCCAGTGCCTTATCACAAGGCATAAGGCCCAAGCAGGTATCAGGCGCTGTAGGGAGTGTCCAAAGCACATACCTGAGGGTAAAGATATACAGATTGGGCCCACCCTGGAATCTCCAGTCCCTTTTGGATTCTGTAGTTATCCAAAATCAGCAGCAAACAGGTCACTCCATAAAGAAGTGACCCTGCCCACAGAGAAAAAGTCTGTATCAGTCTCTGCACTGGCTCGAGGCAGCAGTCCGTCTGCTCACCTGTGACTATACAGGTGCTTCCAACTCTCTCCCTCCGCAGGGCGGCAGCCTTCCTGCCTGCCCCTGACCTGTACCATGCCAGGACTTTTCCTCACTGACCTCCCCCTGCGGAGGCTGCTCTCCTCAAGGCCGCCCACCTGCACCCATGCAGGCCTCTCAGTAAACCTGTCCCTTTCGGGGCAGCTCTTCCTGCCCACTTGTGTCTATGCAAGTGTCTTTTATTTCTCCGTCCCTTTCCCTAATAAGCCTGCCCTTTAAATATAACTAATGTCTCTGTCTCATGGAGAAACTCGCCTGGGAAACTCGCTGCGTGCTGCTGAAACGGGAGCTCTGGTGAAACCTTTCCCAGATTGAACCCAAGGACCCCGCACTCCAAACCCAATGACTCCAAAAAACATCACTTCCAAGCCATTCTTCTCCCTTTGCTCAAAAACTTTCAACTTCCTTCAGTTGCAACAAGAAAATAAAAACTCTTCCCAGGACATCAAAACCCTTCACAGTCTGACCCCAACCTACTCCTCCAGTCCTTCCCCCATTAGCCTCCAGCAGTGAATCCAATCTCTAGTCAAACAAGGACGTACACAAAACACCGCCAGCTTTTCCTCTGCTTTTCTCACTTGTTTCCTCTACTTGCAAAATCCTTGCTGTGACATCACAGGTAGAATCTTTCTCCACGAAGACTTCCCTGATACCTCCCACATCACCTGTTTTCTTTGTGTTTTCTATTTGTCCATCTTTGTATGCTGATCACAAGCCACCTTCGCTCACAGCCATCACCGGGGCTGGACTCAGAATCTCCATTTCACATGGACTACTTGGCAGAGCTTTCCTGACCCAATCCCCAAGCTGCCTCGGTGCCCAGTGGAGTCCTCAGAGCCCCCAGCCCCTTCCTGAGCCACTGGAGCACAACCATCTCCAGGCCCCATTCCTCTCTGGGCTTTCCCAGCAGAGAAGGGAAGTGAATGCCTTGGTCCTAGGTCATGGAGTTCCCAGAGGTGGCTGATTCACAGGAGAGGCTCCAAGAATGCTTGATGAATAAAAATAAATAAGCATTGAATCACTGAGTCACATTTGTTTTCTTGTGCAAATCCCCAGGAGCACCTTGCCCAGGTTTGCACTTGAATATCCTTAGTGTGTGGTGAAGGGGATCGAATTACACCTGACAGATTCCACCTCCACCTGCAGCAAAAGGACAGCGGAAGCACACAAGGGGAGAGGACCCCAGAGCTCGGCCTCTGGAGGTGCAGGGGCCACAGTTCTACAACCTCCTCTGGGGCAGGTGGCCTCTCACAGAGACCCTACCTGCGGCCCTCCTGGCTGGGTGCAGCAGCCCCCACTCTCTTCAAAGCCAGTCTGAGCGGCTTCAACAGCCCACCTAGGACATTTCTCAGACATTACAATTCCAGGCACAGAAACAAAATATCCCTCAGCTGCCAACATCAAACAGGGCTGCCCAGCTGGAGGAGAGTTTAATTTTCTCTTCATCTGCCTTACTCCTGACATTTCACAGAGTCCACCTGGCTCTCACTGCAGGCACAGAGCTCCGAGGAGACATGGTGAGCACCAGCTTTTGGATTTCTGCCAGTGACTACATAAGGTGTGACTGGATTGCTGTGACAAAGACGCTTTTCTAAGCAACATCTTCAAATCAGTGTGTTTCCCTTCAGAGTCCTCGAGAGGGTAGCCATTGATTCTGGTGCTCAAAATAATTCAGCAAATTGTTTGGGGGGGGCCTGCCTTGAAGCCTGTGGCATGTTTGTAGGGTTCTCAGGTTCTTCTCAGTAGACACAGTTTTTTCTTTCTTTTTTTATATTAACTTGTTTAATTTTTTACATCATTGTTCATTTTTTGAACAATATTTTCTTCCCTCCACCCCCTCAGGTGTAGTTCCCATATACTTTCCTTCACCAATGCACCCGTGCACCATCACCACAGTCCCCTGTGCTCCTTCCTCCCTCCCTTTGATCCCTCTCCCTCCTCCTCCCCTGCAGGATGTCTCTGATCTATCATTGTCTGTTTTTGCTTTGTTGTGTTTGTACTGTTATTATTTTTATACACTGATGTCTTATTGGGTTCTCCTATA